CTTATAGCAACATCTTTATAAAAAAATAAGCAATTTAACAAATAAACTTACCTTTGTGGAGTTCAAAGGCATCTTGAGCACCCTCAGAATGGAATACCATACAGTATTGTACTTTAATACAAAAGTGTATATTACCATATGTACATTGAAATACAGTACAGTACAGTATTGCCAAATATGCATCTACTGTAAGAGCTCATTAATCCGAGATCTGATAATCCGAGATAACTCGAATTTTCGAATAACCCAAATAAAATCAAGTTCGAGTACCTGACTATTTAATTCAAACAGAAATTTGGATTACTGGATTTGGCAGTCGGCTTACTGAATGACACGTAGCAACTTGTGTTCACGTAACATATTACATTGAAACAATGCATTAATAACAAAATATAGAAATATAATAGCTAATATTATAACAAATATAAATTCTTAAAAACGGCATGTAGCTCCGACTTCCCACACTTTAATTCCCATCTCGTCCAAGATTTAGGTAAGTAAGTAAGTAATTATCAAAAGAAGGCACCAAACCGGGAAGGCTATGTAGCACCATCAAATACGCAAAATAATCAGAGGGCGCTAAATATCACCAAGGATGCCAATACGAGAACAAAAACGCATAAGGCGAACGATATCAAAAGTATCCGAGTCACCAAGAATTCTATCGAGGGACAGGTGACCGCGAGGGGCGGTCGGAAAGCAAGACACTCGCTCGTCCTGGAAGTCAGGACATTCAAGAAGGACATGCACGACCGTAAGAGGGACAATGCAACAAGGACAATAAGGAGCAGGGCGGCGCTCCATCAAGTGACCATGGGTTAAGCGAGTATGGCCAATACGCAACCTCGCTAGAGCTGTTTCCCACCGCCGGTTACGGTGGAAGGAGGACGGCCACGAGGAAACACAACATTTAAGAGTACGTAGCTTGTTACCAGTAACAGACAACCAAGAAGCCTGCCAACGGGTAAGGACTGAGGAATGGATAACCGGGTAAAAGTCGGAATACGGAATGCCTTTACGAGAGATGGGACAAGAGCGGACAGCTTCCTTAGCGGCAGCATCCGCACGCTCATTTAAAGACACGCCAATATGGCTGGGAACCCAACAAAACTCAACCGACTTACCAAGATTTAGGTAGGCTGAGCATAAGGCAAGATGGTCAGCTCCCCCAGACCCTGTGATCTTATAGTGCTGCTACCTGATGCCAACTAGAGCTCTTGGTAGAAGGGATTCACTAGTTTCAAAATGATTCCTGACGATCTTTGTATTGCCAAGAATCGTTTGCAGTGTTTAAATGATTTGAAATGTGTTTAAATTTGATTATGAGTGGTTAAAATAATTTTGCACTGTAGCGAGCAGTTGCCTCCGTGGGACACGAGATTGTTGTCTCCCACGCGCACCCTGCCTTGTTCAATGGGAGCAAGGCATTTTGCAAGGTTACTTGTAGTTATGGGGCATAGCACTTGGTTTTTTGACAGTGTTCTGACCAAGTCCAGTGAATATGCCCAAGAGGACCTAGTAAAGCACAGCACAGAAATCACTGTTAAATTTCCCACAACACTATTTTATCGCTTGTGCCTCTCTGTCATTTCCACTTTATATTTGGACAGGACAATCCTTATTCCTTTTGCACACCTGTCTCATATTGTATACAAGTGATTGTTCCTCGTATAACAACTAAAATATCCTGTGGTAAATGTGGTATTCTATGGTAAATGTGGTATTCTGTGGTAAATGTGATATTGTGGTAAATGTGATATTGTGTGGCAATTGTGGTATTCTGTGGTAAATGTGGTATTCTGTGGTAAATGTGGTATTTTGTGGTAAATGTGGTATTCTTTGGCAATTGTGGTATTCTGTGGAAAATGTGGTATTATGTGGTAAATGTGGTATTATGTGGTAAATGTGGTATTATGTGGCAAATGTAGTATTCTGTGGTAAATGGGGTATTATGTGGCAAATGTAGTATTCTGTGGTAAATGTGGTATTGTGTGGCAAATGTGGTATTCTGTTGCATTCTGTGGTAAATGTGGTATTCTGTTGCATTCTGTGGTAAATGTGGTATTCTGTTGCATTCTGTGGTAAATGTGGTATTCTGTGGTAAATGTGGTATTCTGTGGTAAATGTGGTACTCTGTGGTAAATGTGGTATTCTATGGTATTCTGTAGTAAATGTGGTATTCTGTGGTAAATGCAGTATTTTGTGGCAATTGTGGCAATCTGTGGCAAATGTAGTATTCTGTGGTAAATGTGGTATTCTGTGATAAATGTGGTATTCTGTGGTAAATGTGGTAAATGCTTCATGCGCCTTCAAAACTTCAAAATTTTAAGCCCTTGCAATCTAAACAGGCAAAATTCCATGAGAGCCTCCCCCTCGAAGAATTGCAATCCCAGATGGAACAAGACATTTAAATGCAATAACTTTTTTGAATATACAGTTCAACTGCACAAACTCTGAACAACATGAGCATCCTGATTTCATTCTGTAACTAATAATAAATGTGAAAGATTGTCTGAGTTTACACTTTACCACCACCAATATAATAGTGTTCAAGTCTCTGTTCCTACTTCTCTCTAAACATGGAAGACTAAGCCTCTTTTCAGCTGAATTAGCTTCTTAATGCTTATGAAATAAAAAGCAACATGCAATTATGTATACAGATCAATGGTTACAACTTTTGAATTAGTATTTCAATTATCGTGTGCACTGGAATAGAATGGTGCAATATACAGAACAACTTACAAAAGTTAAATCTGCACATTCTAGGACATACTGCACATACTGGGCTTTACAGTGATTATATCGTGTATTGTTATGCATGTGTGCGTTGATTGGCATTCATGTCTGAGTAAACAATCATGCAGGGAAGTGTTGCAAATAATTAATGTACAGAATTACGACAAATGTAGACAATTTATCCTATCATTCCAGGTGTGGTAGAGGAGCAAAGAACTTTGCAAGGATTTGGGATGATTATTGAAGAAACATTGTGGCTATGTTTTTCACTAACAAATAAAAAAGCAGCATTGAATGTAATGAAACGCCTCTTTCTGAAGAAATGCCATCTTTTTGAAGATGGCGTTTCTTCAGAAAGAGACGACACCTGAAGATATGTTGCCGAGATGGCTTCCCACTACTGGATCACATCAGTCACAAAAGTTCCTTTGGCCTACCAGGAACCAGACCCAGAACCTGGCTCCCCTCAAGATGGTCAGATGGCCCCCTCAAAGATGGAGGGAGTGGGGACACAATATTGTCACCCAACCAGAAAAGCACCCAGAAAATCAGTGAAGCATTACAAAAAACTGCAAGGTTCATATAAAAAAAGTAAAGAAACTACCAAAATATTCTACAATGATACAGGTAAAACAAGCAAATCACTAACTGCCATAAATCAATCAGTACTGATTGCCAACAGTAGGAGTCCCAGAGTCCCGCCTCACAGTGGGCTCCAGGACAAGTCCGGAGCCAATGTTCCCCAAGCCAATAAACCTGGTAGAGAGGGAGATCTTGAGACAAGATGATTTCGGGGCTTTTTAGTCCCCGCGGCCTGGTCCTCGACCAGGCCTTCACCCCCAGGAAGCAGCCCGTGACAGCTGACTAACACCCAGGTACCTATTTTACTGCTAGGTAAAAGGGGCATTGGGTGAAAAACTCTGCCCATTGTTTCTCGCCGGCGCCCGGGATCGAACCCAGGACCACAGGCTCACAAGTCCAGCGTGCTGTCCGCTCGGCCGACTGGAGAGTCAGGAGAGCCACCACGGCTCTACCAGTAAGAGGCCTATGCTACCTTACCTATGCCAGGGTAGTTAACAAATTAGGCAGTGAAGTGGTGGAGGCAGACCCCATACACAGTTTCAAATATAGATATGAAAGAGCCCAATAGGCCCAAGAATCTGTCCCACCAGTTGCTTTACAGTCGAGAGGCGGGACCAAAGAGCCAAAGCTCAACCCCCACAAGCACAACTAGGCGAGTACATGGTGTTTATCCCACCACATCAGCGGAAGAAGTGGCCTTGAAGTCAATTGTGGGTTAGGGATCTGGGGTGCCTGGTGGTGGCTATCAGTACTAATGGGTTTATGCAAGTTAGTGATTCGCTTATTTCGCCTGCATACTTGCGAAGTCTTTTAGCAGTTTTGTTTCTTCACTTTCTATGACTTGCTTGCAGCTGTCTGTAAAGTTTCGTCAACTTTCTGGATGTTTCTACGGTTGGGTGACTATATTATGTCCCAGCTCTTTGCTCTTGTTGGAGGGGGCTAGGTTCTGGCTCTGGTTCCCAGCAGGCCAAAAAGGACTCCCGCAACTGTGATCCAATAGTGGGAAGCCATCTCAGGAAGACAGTATTAGGAAGCTACCAAGGGGCTTCTCCCAGAAATAAAAAGTGTGAGAATTACTAGGAAAAATATGATGAATGACAGTTTTACAAATTTGAGAAGTGGTGGAAGATAGGTGGTGCAGATATCATTGGGATCATAGGAGGTCGATGGACTGGTGAAAAATGTCTAGGTGATAAAGGCAAGCCTAGAAGTGCATTTGGTTGCTGCATGGGGTGATGCATCCTATTACTTTGTAAAGGAGTGACACACAACTGTGAGAAAGCAGGATGGCCAGGGGAGTTCATGTTATAGAATGGAGTCTGTTGAGATGACGACGTGGGAGATGAAGGAGCCGTTTGATGTGGCATGAAAGTCTGAGGAGACAGAATATTGTAAAGTGACTGGTTCATAAAGTGATTAAGAGTGTACTGAGGTGGGAGAGAGACATGGACTGTATGCATGGGTGAAGAATGGCCTACCGCATAATAACTTGAGGGAGAAGATGGTATGAGAGCTCTCAGCTGTGGCTGGACAACTGGAGGTGGAACAATGTTAGTGACTGAGGTATGATGAATAAGTGTGTGGACATGTGTAGTGCCTGTAGTGTTTGGAGGAGTTGCAGGAACTATGCTGATAACTTCAGGAGGTGGCGTCTGCGATGTGCTAGAGTCATCTTCCCTTACCTTTCCAGGGTTTTGCTTAACTTCTTTCTGCAGGTCCTCTTTTAATTTTTCAGTGATTACTTCTTTGATTTCTGTCGTATCTATTTCCACCTTGTGCACTGCAGGAGCAGCAGAAGCGGGTGTATCCGATTTCTTTTCGCTGTTTTCTTGAATATTGCCATCAGAACCACCCATTTCTTCTTGGTGTTCTATAATTTCAGCATCAAAATCACCCAAATCTTCATCCTCTTCTATGATATCATCATAATCATCATCATCTATATAATCATTGCTAAAACTAGTCAACTTTTCATTTTTCTCAATTACATCAGCAATGCTGTCAACTCTCTTCTCATTGTCCACTACAATCTCTGTTGTAATGCTCGTTTTTTTGTCTTTTTCTACAACATCAGCATTAAAACCAGCAGGCTTTTTGCTGTCTAATATAATTTCTGCAGAAGACACATTAGTGTCTTTACTGCTCTCAACAGTTTTTGTATTCACACCACCTGTCTTCTTATTTTTTACTACGATTTCAGCAGCAGGATCAGACATCGCTTCATCACGTTCCATCACTTTAGCACTAGTATCCATCCTTGATCTCACACTCTTACTTGCTGGCATCTCATCTTCATCACTTTCTAAATCAACAACCTCATTATCAATCTTTGTTGGGGTGGCCATAAGGGTTTTTCCATTGACTTGGCCAGACAGGAGATTTTTTTTAGTGCTCGTGTTTAATGCAGCCAAGTTATAATGTTCACGTGATTCCCTTATTTCTTCTGCATGCAATTCCTTTCCATAAGTGGCTTCACTTATCTCATCTTGGCTTACAATATCTGCCTCATCATTGCTGATAACTTGCAATTCCCCTGCATCAGCTTCACCCACTGTCTGTTTTCTCAATTTTAAAAGAGTTGCACCTATAGGAGAGTGCATTGTCTGTCTGTCTTTCCTCTTTGGTTGGGAGATTCCAACTCTCTGATTTAGAGAATCATCTGAAACAGCGACCCATTTTGATGTACCTGGAGGAGATTCTGAAATAGGACTTTTATATGGAGACTGATGAGAACTTCTACCAAGTTCCATACTTTCTTCCGTTTGATAGCTATAGTTTTGACTGATGGCACTATTTTCCTTCTTCCCTAAAGACATCTTCTGAGGACTACTTGAAGAGAAGTCTTGGCCACCTACACTTCTGTTTCCATTGGGAAATGAATTGTTAAATGTAGCCCTATTACTAGCATATGGAGAATAATAGTGAACTTCATCATCTCTTTGGGCACCTGTTCTGGAATCTTGCTGTACTGCTCTTGTATTTGAAAATACAAGGGGCACCGTTCTATTTTTAATCGTCATAAGATTATGGAAGGTTTGCTTACATTCATCGTTAATTGGTTTGGGACTTGTGAATATTGGCGGTGGTGACCTGAAAGGAGAAGCTGAAGTAGATATTGGTGGTTCCCTTGGTTTAGTATTTGTCTGATCCCTTCTTGAATCCACCTTGCATACTGTAATGGTTTTATTTTTACGTATCTTATCGAGAGTAGCCAGTTGCTCAAAATTACTATTTTTGCCCCTATTAAGTGGACTTCTCCCAGATATATTATAAAGTGAGGAACACTCACCAGGGTAAGATATTGCACTTTCTCCTTCCACCTCAACAACATCAGGAGCTTTCTTAGACAATGAACTGCGAAAGAATGAACCTTCTTTCCTCAACTTAGTTGAGGATGATTCTTCAAAATTAACACCTGATCTGTTTAAAATAGGTGACATATTTATTCCATCCATAATATTGTGGTTAGGACTTTGGCCAGCAAAGCCAGACCTTGTTTCATTCCTTCTGGATGTCCTTGTGGTAGTTTCCACAATTTCAATTTCATGAGCAATCTCCTTTATGTCATCTTTAACAGCAGAGGACACTTCTTTCTCATCTTCGCTTGCAAAATGAATGTGCTTTCTTTGAGTAAAATTAGAGTTTAGAAGGGGTTTTTTGTTTCTAGGTTTTGGGTAAGGCAAGCTATGCTTAGAGTCTGAACTCGTGGCAAAGACTGGCGTTTCCTCACAGATCGTGTTCTGAACTGAATAAGCATCATAACTGTCTTCTTTTCGAGCACGACGTCCTTTGTTATGTTTTCTCTTTCGCTTCTTTTTGGTTACAGGATTATCAAAATTTGCAAGATCATGTGGGTCAGTCACCGAGTCAGCAACATAATCTTCATCAGAAGATTTAGTACTAAATCTAGTTTGTTTATCATACTTTCTGTTGAGATCAGAAGAGTTGCCATCATCTGATGTTTCTTCACTCTCTAGATTGATCACAGTGCTAGTGGAGACTTCCTTCTCTTGTGAACTTTTATCCTCTTGCCATTTTTTTTTCTTTTTATCCGTTTCCCGGGCTCTTGACATTTCGCAATCATCATCTGTTGAATTCTTGTGCATTTTCTTTCTATCCATTTTTTTTTCAAGAACAACCACCTGCTCCTCTGATCTACTCTTTTTTTTCTTAGTATCCTTTCTCACATCCTCTTCACTAACCGATTCGACAAGTTTTTCTTTTTTCCGTTTCTTTTTTTCTTTCACAATAACTTCCTGGACCTCTTGTTCGGTCTCAACTTGGCTTTCAATGGCTTTATCCTTCTTGCCCTTCTTTTTACCCCTTACTATTTCCCCAAGTGCTTGCAGTTCCACCACCTTTTCTCTCTTCCCTCTGCCTCTAACATGGACCTCGTCCTCTGAATCAACTCTCTCTTCACATGTTTTGCTTCTTTTGTGTTTCCTTTGTTCCTTTACCTCAAGCACATCCATTTCCATTTCACTCGTTTCCTCCAATGTTTTACCTCTCTTACGTTTTCTTACTTTTCTGTTGTCGTCATCTTCGTTCTCTATTGGAATAAGTTCCTCTGACAGTCTACTCCTCTTCTCCTTTTTCTCTTCCTTGATGCTATCTTGTAGCTGTATTTCATCATCAACTTTTCCTCTCTTGTTCCTCCTCGTTTTTTTCTCTCCATCGCTATGTGGAACCTCTTCTTCAAATGTCCCCTTCTTTCCTTTTTTCCGCTTCTTTCCTTCTGCTGCAGAACTTCCCTTCTTTGGCAATGACCTTAGTCTGGAAAACACGTCAAAAGTACAAATGATTTAAGAATAGACAATAAATATTTGGCTTATAATTCCCAAAATTATCTCGTATGAAAAACAAACCACACACCAGAAGATGAGGAAACGACGATGTTTTGGTCCATCCTGGCCCATTATCAAGTCAATTGTGATCGACTTGGTCATAGGTCCAAGACCAATAATGGTCTTGGACCTATGATCTGGTCATAATGGTCCAGGATGGACTGAAATGTTCTCATTTCCTCATCTTTTGGTGTGGGGTTTGGTCATCATACCTTAAGATATGTTATTGTGACTCGTCTGTATATAATACGGTATCTCATATGAAGTTACTATGCAGTCCCAAGGTTCTCATGTAAACAATTGTTTTCCTTGTCATCATTTAAAAAAAAATAATTTACAATACTGCATTTGATTATTTGAAAAAGATTAATATTTAACTTCATATAGAGAATGTTCTTTCACTCAAATTATATGTGAATAAACAATAAAAATACATAACTTAGCTTTTAACATACATATTTACATTGCTAGCCTCTTCTCAGTCTAATGACCAAGTTTCTAGGTTTTAAATCATGCATATTACTGTCTGCCAATATTTTTAAATACGAAATCAACCAAACTTGCTAAGATACTTGTTCAATACCAGACTACACAGCTCTACAGCACTTAGACCTACATGATAGCACCACTTGAATGCCCTCAGTTACAAACACCACAACCAAACACTACCCAACCTCACTCATGTCTAACATTAGTACAGTAGCTAGAACATCTGAAAAAACACAAAATTAAAATTAAGTCAATACAATGAGTGGTATTGAGGAACTCAGAAGATGGAGGAGCAATGAGGCTTGGGTCCGTCCTGGACCATTATCAAGTGGTGTGAATACAATGGGTCACTATGATGTAAGACAGTAAAGTGTATAAGCATGAAAACACAAAAATTACAAAATATAAGAATGACAGAACAGAGCAGAGGTAAAACGATGTAGCATATTGAGTACCTCAGAGCACACGGCCACATTAAAAAGAAAAGTCAAGAATCAGGTGGTGAAACAGAATGAATGGCACATGTCTGAGTAACTAGAGATTCTAGGAGGCTTTCAGAATCAAGCAAGGGAAATTTCCCGAGCTGAGAAGGATGGTGTCAAACCAAGCAGCTCAGGAAGACTAATATTACCAGCGATGGCATAGGAAGGCAACCCCGCCCCCCCCATCCCCCCCCCCCACCCACCCAAACTAGAGCTGAACATGGATGTCTAAGGTGATGGGACCAAACAATATCTCACCATGAATATTAAGAGAAGAGGAAGCCATATAAGTGCCACTTACCATGATGTATAGCAAGTTGCTTGCAACAAAAACTACCAGAACATTTATAGACAGTATATAGTGAAAACTTACAAAAAGAGACAGACAGGAGGACCTAAACTAAATGCCAGTGTCTTATTTCCATATCGTGCAGTGATGGAAATGCCAGTAAGACTAATATAATATTTGACAGAAGGGCCATGTATAACACAACACCAGTAACTTGGGGATGGAAAAATCCAGTCACAAATTTATTTGAGTTCTATGACCAGACAACCGAGACCAAACAAGACAAGGGTGGCCGGACTGTATATTTATGAACTCTGACAGTCTTCAATACAGTACCCAACAGGAGACTACTAGACACATTGGAGAAATGGCAAGTGTGACGTGTTTTAGTGGATCTAGGAAGAACTCGGCAAAAAGCAGCAGCAAATCATAGTAAGGGAAGAGACTTCCAAGTTGCAAAATGTTACCAGCAGGGCCCCACAATGAATCAGCTCTAGCACATGTTTTAAATGTTACAAACCTAGCATTTTCCGATTTCCTAAGATTAATACAATCAGTGCCGAGTTATGAGCAAAGGTTATGTTACAAAATAAAGAAATTACTGTACAAGGTAATTAAAAGCACACATTAAAAGCAGAGGTAACATTTTCAGGAAAAAATTCTCCTACACTGAACTATTACACAGGAGCACCACGCTCATCCAGAAAACAAAATACTGAAGTAAATTATCTCATCTCATTAAAATAGGTCACTTACTTAAGAACACCTGTTTCTTGAAGAACTGTGGAGGTCTCATCTGGGTTGACGTAAAATTCATCTTCAAACAGGCCTACAGCCAATTTGTTTTGTCCTGCTCCATCTGTCAAAAGATTTTTATATTAAATTAAAAATGAAGAAGCTACAAAAAAACCAGCATTGAATGTAATGAAAAGCCATTTTCTGGGTGAGCCCTGGAGGCTCCTAGGAGCTATCAAACTGATATTAGCTATATTAGTCCGGGGCTTAAATCAACTGGAGTTCCTCCTACCAGAACACAAGCCAGAACCTGGCCCCATCAGAGAGGGGCAGGGAGCCTCTCTGCCTGGGTGGCTTCTCCACAAGCGTGCGGGTACGACAAAACCCGTGCCACACCCCCTGAGAAAAGAAAGGGCAGTTTGCCTGCCAGGAGTCCAGAACCTCATAACGCACCCAATACAGGGAAGAAGAGCCGAACTCAAAAAGAGGATGGAGCCATCTCAGAGGCAAAATCCGGGTCACACAGGAGGTAAGCAGCAAGGCCTCTCGAACTTCTGTAGGGAAAATGCAGAAGGCAGAAAACCTCCGAAAATAGGGGGCGAGGAACCCAAAGGAAGCCAGAATCGAACCCGGGGGGGGGGGGGAGCCGACCCCAAATCAAATTCGTATAGGGAAGGTGGATACGAAAAGCCCAAACCCTGTAACAAGAGACCCCACGAAGAAGGCACCAAAACCCAAGCCGAATCAATGGGGGTCCATGAACCCCAGGCTGACTCCCCCACCAGCCTCGGGAGCCTCGAAACCATGCCCTGGGGCAGAGCCGTCCTCCATGCCCTTAATCCCTGAAGGAAAGACAGAGTCCAGGGAAAAGGCAGAAAAGATGGAGGCCTGCTGGGACGACCCAGAAGCCTCGGCAGGAGGACTATGCTCGAATGCCTCTGTCTTGAATGAGGGTAGCCTCCAGGGCCACCCGAGCCTCATCACCATCTAAACCCCACCCTGACTCTGCAACCCTCAGACGTTTGGGAGCCACCAGCGGTAGGAGCAGGGCAAACTACGGCCACTGGTAAGGACCTGAAGGCACGGACTGAACCAAGGTAGAAGTGACCAACGCCCCTAGGTTCAGGTCCCTAAAACCAAAACGGGGCAAATGAGGATGGAGTCTGGTATTTAGCGAGATTGGAAACTAATAGGCTTTGCCATTTCATGCTAAGAGGGGGGGGGCAGTTCAACGTCAACCCACCAATGACCATCTCCAGGCATAGATCAGTTACCCTACAAAGTTTGGCGAGGCTAGCCCCAAGTGCCTGGCCCCCAACCTTGAAATATACAAACATTTTTAACAAATATACAAACAAATATGCAAACAAAGAAATATTCTCTTTTACAGATATACAGTAGATGCTAGCACACCTGCCATTAACAAATAATCAAAAGCTTTTACACTCCAGAATCAGAATAAAGTCACCAGTCTTTAGAAACTTTAGTCATTGATGTTTTCAGTGGAATAAAAGTTTATGCAAAGTTATGATATGGCTTTCTATAAAAAAACACTGGAATGGATGATGTACATGTAAAACCTATGGACATATATTAACAAAACCTAGTGGTGTCCAAGATTTCATTGTATACCAAGCATTTAGAAACCCATTCATCGGTCTCCACACAAATCAACAGTACATTTTACTTATTTTCCAAAGCTACAATGTAGAACAATGTAGAACACATTTTTATTCTATTATCAACTATATCCATACCACTGCTGAGTGAAACATAATAACCATAGTCAACAGATTGAATCCAACAACAGAATAAATCCAAAGGTAGCCTCATATTTCATGGTTTTGTGCATGTTGCATGTGTATTGTATTGGATTAGCAACAAAAATATATAAGTACTCTAACAGAATAATTAGGTATAATAGCCTAAATTACAAAAGTTTGAGTACTCGTTTAAAGAATGCCCAAACAACACCTGTGGTTGCACAACACCACCACGGCAACACCTCAGTTGCACAAAAAAGCCCTGACTACACCTCCAGTGACAAGAATGCCCTGTAAACACCCCCCAGTGACAACAATGCACCAATGACACCCCCAATGGCACAAGAATGCCCCAAAAACACCTGAGGCAACACAACATGTGGACCTGCGAGCTGCTCCAAGCAACAGCCTGTTGGATCAAGCTCACAAGTCAGCTTGTGAGTGGGGAGCAGAAGAACCCCCAGAACCCCATCAAGCAGGTATCAACAATCCCCAAACAATACTCCCAGCGGCACAACAATGCCTCAACAACACTCCCAGCGGCACAACAATGCCCCCAACAACATCGCAGGTAGCACAACAATGCCCTGACAAGATTATTGACTTTGTTTCCCCTTCAATATGGCAGAGATCATGGAAGATGGCCAGAGAAACTGCTAGAGCCTAATCGAGTAGCAAAGATGCTACAAGCATAAATATGAGGTCTTGCCCACTCTCACTTCCTTGTGTTTGTAGAGAACTTATGTATTAAAAGCGGTGACTTGTATTTGATTTCCCTTTGATTTGTGGATAAGCAAGACATCGAAAGGCCACTATTGGCACAACAGTACGGTGCACCGACAAGGTCGCCACCGGCACAATAGTGCACCAACAACAGTGCCAGCACAACATTTAAACAATAAAAACCAACAAGATCCCATTTACACAATGTGGTGCCAGGTGCCAAGCCTCGTCACTTAGGCCTAGTGACAGGTGTCGCACGTGTAGACACAAGCAACATCCTACACAAGAAGGTTCACCATTGGATTTCAAAACCTACTAAACGTTAACCAAACTGACCTAACCTAATACAACCTAAGGTATTGCAATCTTATCTAATAAGACACACTGTTTGAAGAGCCAACACTCTTGGAGGACCCGTCTTGTGAAGATGACCATACCGGGCACTGCTCCCTCACCCATCTTCTCCCTCACTAAACAACACCGTAAATACGAGGAGAATTCTCTTGCCTAACTCCTACCTAGATTGGTAATGAGCGCATACAAGCGAGTAAAGGGGGGAGCGGCTGACTGACCTGGGTGTCCGAGGGCGACATTAAAGCGGGAGCAGATCTTGTCGAGGACGTCCCGCACCGTCAGCGACTCCTCCACGTTCACCTTCACCACCGAGAACTTCCTCTCGTCCTCCACAAACTCGCTCAGGTCGAGCTTCACCCTCATTTTGGCCAGACAAGTTGGCCGAGCTGTACGGCCCCTGCGGGATTGTTGTTGCTCTCGGGGTTTACGACCAAAACAGCGTCACCTGCGTGTCTCGGGGTTGTCATTGGCCAGTCCTATGTGGAAACTAATTCTTATTGGTCGATACCTAGCGCCTCCATTGACTTTTCCCTTGTGTAGCCATTTCCATTGCAGTGCACATTTCAAATCTTTATTGCTTCCATTTTGTGATTCTTCTTTCCCTGAAACAGTTATATTACTTTCAGCAAGTTATCATTACTATTATTCCTGAAGAAAAATTTACATTAATGTGAAATTTTAATTTGTAAAAGTGTTTTCCCTATCACGGTTACTATGGAAACACGAGACGCGAAGATTGGGAGTTATTTTCCCTGCTCTCTGAAAAGTTAAAGTTTTGCTGATATAATGGTTTATACTTTCACCCACTTACCTAACAAAAAATTTGTTACATTCGAGAATCCTTCAGTGCAAAATCTGCTTCGAAAATGGTAGGATTTTTAGTTGCACGGCCTTTAACACCTATAGGCCTAGAGTATGTTCGTGTGTGTTTTTTTAGTTCTAGTTAAATTATTTGCCAGTCTGCCAGTTATTTGAGCAAAAGATCATCTTAGGCATATACAGTAAATCTGCATGCTTATGCATACATTCATCTCTACATATAACCGTATATACATAAATATTTACCTGATATATAACCGTAATATATATATTTGAGTCTCCGTGGTGTAGTGGTAAGACACTCGCCTGGCGTTCCGCGAGCGCTATGTCATGGGTTCGTATCCTGGCCGGGGAGGATTTACTGGGCGCAATTCCTTAACTGTAGCCTCTGTTTAACGCAACAGTAAAATGTGTACTTGGATGAAAAAACGATTCTACGCGGCAGGGGATCGTATTCCAGGGACCTGCCCGAAACGCTACACGGACTAGTGGCTGTACAAGAATGTAACAACTCTTGTATATATCTCAAAAAAAAAAAAAATCATTTGGTACTACATAGCCTTCCCGACTTGGTGCCTTCTTCTTGGTGCCTTGGTGCCTTCTTTTGATAATCACTTACTTCATCATTTGCCTTGATGTAATATACATTTCATCAAGGCTAATGGGGGGACCTTTGTCCTCTCCTTATGTACTCTCACAAACCCATTGTACCTTCTTGTAAATAAATAAATAAATATCACTACTTTCTCTGTACCTATCTGTGAAAGTTCCAGCTTCCTTCTGCAGGGGCATAATGTCACTGTTTTCACCAATAACAGTGGAGTTGGTAGTTGAATTGACGCAAATTTACCACATGAGGACAGGTTGAAGTCAATCCACCGAAACATTGAAGTAATAGTTATAAATTCGTCAACAGTCGCAGCCAAAGGGTTAACGAGCGTGTTGATAAGCTGATCATCGTCATGATCAGCTTTGGTCGTCATGTTATAATTTTTTGTTAAAAAAAGGAAATATTCACAACTTTCAGGTCCATGCTCGGGAGGCTGACTTGCCAGGCGTTTGTTTTCGACCAAGAATTCAGCGAGTACCTGCTGGAGCAGTTCATTGAGGTGAGAGAAAGGCAGGCTAGGCGGTTTCGTGGGTTTATAACCATGTGGGTGAAAAAGCATCTCCTGTTTTCAGTCCTGTATTGTTTCTTTCTTGAGCTTGAAACCGTTGCTCCTTGTTTATATGAATACTATTACCAGGTGGGGTAATAGGTGTTGCTCGGGTGACGGAGGCTACGTCTTCACTACACACTATCTTCTTCACTGTAACCATCTTAATTACACACCATCTTCCTAAATATAAACATTTTCAATACAAAAAACTTCGAAACTGTAACCATGTACACTATACATGACCATTCTTATCACTGTAATCATCTGTACTACATATACTATCTTCATCACTGACTTTTTTCACTTCCCAGTTATCGCTACGTTCCTCATCTTCAGACATCATCACCACCACCTTCCCTCTCATTCACCACCCTCCCAACCCTTATCATCACCTTCCCTACTACTCACCACCTTCCTTACTCTTCATCATCTTCCTGTCCTTCACTGCCCTGCACCACCTTCATTACTATCATCATCTTCCCTGGCCTTAACCACCTTCCTTACAATTCACCACTTTCCCCATCGTTCACCAAATTCACTATCCTTTCCCACCTTCTTTACTATTCACCATTTTCCCTTTATCATTGTAATCTTAGTGAGGGTGGAGTCCTTTATTTAGCTAGATAGGAAATTATTATAATTTGTCATTTCATGGAAAGGGGGACGGGCATGGGGATCGACCCCAGCCTGCCTATGACCATCCCAGGATAACACCAGTCATCCTGCAAAATTTATTGAGATTACTCCCAAACAGACAAACTGACAGACATAGTCTCTTAGAGATACGTAATAATAATGAAACAGCATAATGTATTAAAATAAAGAACGTCACAATAACGAGGCAGGTTTAGTGTGTTGCATTATTACAATAATATTTTTACATAAAAAGAATTAGTGGATTTGTTGTGTTTACTCCCGCAGGGGTTCGTGAGGAGCCAGGCCGTGGCCAGCGGCCTGGAGGTGTGGCGGGGCTACTGCAAGGAGCCTCTAGGTCAGTGTAGGCTCCCAGCCACACTACGCTCCTGGTGGTTCAACAGGCATGGGTTGCCTGGCTAGTGTGGCTTGTGGTATCTTTGATGTGCTTATAACATTGGTTATTACAGACGGTATAGTGGATATTGAATGGTCTCTACCCGCTCCTGTCCTCGCCAGGGCACGGGGCCAGCGTGGAGAGGGTGGAGGAGGTGCCCTGTACCATGACCTCCATGGCAGTGTTCCGGAGGCTGTATGAGGCTCGGGTGGTGAGACAAGACGGGGAGATCGTCCGCTGTCCCGAACAGTATCACGACCATCTTGTCATCGACGACAAGCTCAAGAAGGTAAGCACTGTGCTCTTCTGCCCCTTTTCCCTACCCTCACTCGCTCCCTAGGAGCCGATGAGGGTTCGAACCCTCATCACGGCTCCTACGGATTTTCTCATTATTAATATTAATATATTATTATTGTTGTTATTGTTGTTGAGAAAATCAGTAGGAGCCATGAGGAGGATTCGAACCTATGCTCTGGGTACTCAAGCAAACGCTCTACATTACTACACCACAGCATTACTATGCACAGTAAAAGCATTTTTACCATTGTGATATTTTTGGTGAGTTTTGACATTGCTTGCTAAAGCCTAGTGAGGGGATAAAGATTTAAAACGTTCATGTAACAGTTCTTTGAGTTCATGTTGTTCAAGTAAATGCCAAGTTAAAAGGACAGCTTCAGTGAATGTTGTTTTGGAGTTGATGTTCGGTTCATTGGTTTTGTGACACTGTTGAGTGCTTGCAGTTCAGTTTAAGTTTTGAGTTAAAAAGAGTCACTAGCAGCCAAGTGGGGGGGGGGGGGGGACACCCTCAGGGGGATTTAAGTTCAATTTGTGAGTGAAGCCAGTAAATTAACGTCGTCTGTATTTCCTTTTATTCGTTGAATGTAATTTTGTGTATGCCGTTTCTGTCTACTTCTCTTTGCTATTTATTATTAATGTGAGAACCTGTCCTCTTACAAATTACGTCTGACTTTGGCCGTATGGCCAAAAATGGACGTAATTTGAAAATTAAAAATAATTATAAATAAATTTTTTATTTTTTTTTCAAAAGAGGAAGTTAAGGGGTCTTCTGGTAGGTTAGGGGGGCAAGAAGTTCTTCTAAGGTTTCAAAACGTCATGAAAACCCTTAATTGAAAGTTTTCTCTCTTAACCTAACCGAGTAATCCAGAGGGTTCAAAACAGAAAACGGGACAGTACGTCACTTTCGTGAGCCGATTTCATTTCAAATTACGTTCATTTTTGGCCATATCGCGCTTACGAGCGAAAAGCGACGTAATTATAAGAGGACGAATTGGTGTGTGACAGGTGCTGGTGGAGGAGGGCGGAGAGCTGTGGGAGGTGGTGGACGAGGAGCAGCGGCGGCAGCTGTTGGTGCGTCTCTTCAGCCTGGTGGCGCTGGGGGGTGAGTGTTGCCAGTTCGAGGACAACATCCACCACTACCTCTCCGTCACCAGAACACTCTACAGGGACCTCGTCACGTGAGTTCTTCCCCCACCCGTACTAACTTGAGGGGGAAACAGTTATAGCCTTACTGCTTCTACAGTAACTTGAGGGAAACAAGAGCCTTCCTCCTCCCATGCTAACTTGAGGGGAACAGTACTTTCCGCCTCCCATGTTGATTTGAGGGAAACAAAGGTACTGGCTGGTTTAGGTTCAATTCTTGCTTTGGCAGAGCTTCGACCAGCCCTGCATGATCAGTGTGTGAACTTTCATCTTAAAATAGCGTCCTTTTACATAAGAAAAAGTCCATCGGCTGTTTCATCAAAATCGACCTACTGTTTTCTTCTGCATCCCATGACAAATAGACTAATTCTTATTTATATCCCTTACTCTCAGGGCAGGAATTAAATATAAATAAGTTATAAATTTGCATGTATTTTTTATCATTAACAAACTTGTATTATGTGAAGTATTACAGTATTACTTGAAGTTTGTGTCAAGCTCTAGCAGTCTTACTATGATTGCCATCTCGCAGAATGGTTAGATGGTTAGTCATATGTGTTCAGTAACCAGCACTAGCAAACTCTGGTTGGGTTCTGAGGCTATTTTAATGCGTACGAGAATGGACAAATTAATTGCAAAGCAAACATGCCATATTACAAACAGCTGCCCAGGTCTCTCTCTCCCTTTCATCTCTCTTTACCCTCTCCACTCCTCCTCCCAAACTTCCCCATCCTCTTCACTTTTCTGGCCTTCCCTTTCTTCCAACATCTCCCCTTCTACTCATCTCTTATTCCCACTTTCTCCCCTCTCCCCCTCTCGCAGAAAATTTTATACTAGTATTTTGAAGAACTGAACAAAACGGCTAAATAACTCTACGGAAAACATAACCTTTATTTCAGATCTACTTCGTGAAAATCACCAGGAAAGGGGAGTTGCTATAGATGTTGATATTTCTTTGATATTACCCTGCACAAACAAATTTTTTGTTTGTGCAAGGTATACTATGTTAAGATTATTTGTGTGTATATTATCCTGTGTTAAGATTATTTTTTCAGGGAATCCTGTGTTAGGATTGTTTGATTAGTGTATCCTGTGTTAAGATTATACTTTAGTGTATCCTATGTTAAGACTACTTGAGCAGGGTATCATGTGTTTAGAATGGTTGAGGAAAGAATCTTGTGTTAAGATTGTTGATTAGGTTATCCCTTTGTTAAGACTGGGGTTCTAATGTGATGTAAAATCTGGGTATAGCTATCCCAGTGAGGGTAGGATGGCTTCAGTGATTGGATGTGGTTCACTGCAGAATGTTCTAATCAGTTTCGAATGTCTGTCTTTTCGTTATGTGGCATTCCGTTTTAATGTGCTTTGGTGATCATGATTACTTCAATGTTCGCTAGGCTGATATTGTGACAGGCTCTGGCATTTTAACTAGATTATTCACATTACTGTAATACCCCTTCCCCCCCCCAGGCCTGTGGTTGAGGACGGGAGGGTGATGGTGAGCTCTGTGGCGGCCAAGTTGAGGCTCAAGACAGCAGGTGGAGTTACTGTACCGGAGGACCCAACCCACTCTCAGAACATTCTCCTGTTAGTGATCAACCCGCACACCCGTACCGTCCACACCCTTCTACACCAGCACGGCGTCGGCGACTTGGACTAGGGCGTCTGCCAACCTATATAACCTAAAAATGCATTTTGGTTCTACAAGGTAGCCAATTCCATCAAAATCTTAAATATGTACCCAACTCAATTAATGATTAATCAATCAATTACTCCATGGGATAACTATGATCTATCAGCTGATTTTGTAAATGCGCTCAAGAAAGATAGTGTACGTACACTCTACATTATTAAAACAGTTAACACTGAAAAGCATCACTGAGAGTACTCAAAGTATGGGTAACGATGTGTATCAGTGCTATACCGACGGCTCTGTAGAAGGTGGACGATGTACCGGATGTGCATGTAATATATTTAAACAATCTTCTCTCTTACATACAGCAATGAAGCGCGTCAATGACTGGGCAAGTACAACTCAAACCGAACATGCAGGCATATACCTTGCTACTGAATTTGTAAAAGACAAAGGTAGTGGACTTATATATTGTGACTCGCAGAGTGCACTCCTGGCACTGATTGCACATAGTAGTGACACCCAGAAAATAGTCAGTGATATTCGAATGAATGTTTTAGCTGCTAAAGAAAACAGATTTGAAATTAATTTCCTATGGATACCATCACATGTTGGCATCTCAAGGCATGACACTGTTGATATGCTTGCAAAGACAGCTTGTAGAAAACCAGTAGTAGAAATTAATATGGGTGTTTCACTAGCAGTGACAAAGAGAATAGTTAAACAAATATCTAATGAAGATCTCACCGACCTAACAAATTCACAAAGACCTGAAAGTTGCAGTATTAAATATTATGATAGATATTATGAGGAGACATTCACATATGGGACTAATAGAGCAAGAACTCTGCAATGTGATGTTATAGTGGCCAGAATACGCCTGGGATATAGACGTATCTGGCAGCTTTCTCAAAACACAAATGTCGAGTACACAATGTGTCAACTTTGTGAAAGAGAAAACATGCACTTACTTGAACATTATATTGTAGAATGTCCCATATTGTCTGACTTTCGCCCTCCTGGGCTGAGGTATGCTGAGCTCTGTAACTACTATATGAGTACTGGAACACTTGATGATATATTTGACTTGTACCCTAGATTAACCATGTAATGTAACTATATAACCTGAGCTTGTAAAAGCATCTTAATCACCTTCAGTGGTTAAGTTCTTAATTGCACACTAGTTTCTCTTGTCAGCTATCTCACCCTGCCAGAGTAAAAGAGACAAGTATATGTGTATGTATGTGTATATATGTATGTATGTGTGTGTGTATGTATGTGTATAAAGTATAAAGCTGATCAGAATTACATTTCACCAATATAAATTCACATTAATGCATTGATAAATCTGTTTATCTATGTATTTACGTATGTATTTAGCCTAACATTTTAAAAGCACTACGATCACCTTCTGTGGTTGTTCAATAAATCTCTGAACTGTATGTTTGGCAAATCTTTCACCCTGTCCATGGAGGACAGAAGAAAATGTATATATGCTAGTTAGCATTGTAAATGTGTGGCCACGTCTGTGGTAGAAAATAATAATAATAATAATAATAAAAAGTTACCATTGACACAACCAATTTACCGACTGGTTATAATCTCTCTCGCATCACACAAACCATCAGGCGTAAGTCGTTGCTGCTCAAAGTGCAATACCATTCAGCGCATTTTAAACTTGGTGTGCCATATGCAAACTTCGCAAGAATAGCCTATGAAAACACAAATTAAATAATCCTTTAGTTATTTCACTGATATATAAATAGACCAACTTTTACAAACGCTGTTATTTTTTGTAATACTGCATGCATATTGATACGTAGTTAGAGTTGCTGAAATCACACATATTAGGCTGTTGCTGAGTACCCAAAGAATGTATACACCAGGTGAAAGTGTTGGGTCAAGGGCGTGGCGTTAGGGAGGGACCTTGGTGATATGCCAAACCTCTGCTATAATGAGATGTGAAAATAGGATCTTGTATGCTACGCAAAGCTTGCCCGATCTTGGCCTTGCCATTAAAATTTATGTCACTCTGAAGCCAAAGTGAAGATCTACATCGCAGCAGGTGTTCCTGCCAAGGTATAATAGGTGGCCGTGTTTCTGTATGCTCTACTATTGGCAAAGAAACTGAATGAATGAAAAAGGAGTTCCCTGTGTGCACGTTTTTGCTAGTATTTGTATTTCCATAATTGTATGGCTTGTCGAGCAATGTACAGGTTGTAATAACAAGTGTTATATCGATAATTTAATTTCATTTAAATTTCCGTAGTGTGGTAAATATTGGGGTGCACTAGCAATACTTTCTGTAACAGAGGTAGTCAACTATTAATTTCAACTTCACCAAGTTGGTCTAATTTAAATAATATTGCCCTAACATAATTTGATATATGTCTTAATTTACCCATTGCGTTTTATAACCGATCCACGTTGCCTTAAGGCTTAAACTTAGCCAAAACGTTTTTCTAGTATCAATTAACGTTTCCTTGTGCAACACTACAGAGGAAGGCAAAGATGTAGGATATGCAAGGCTATGAAGGGCGCACAGGTTGGGAATATTGGTTATTCTGGGACATGTATGTCTTCTGTTGAAGATCATTTAGATATCTGACAGTAACAAGGCTGCAAGGAAGTACACGACGAAGCCTACTCTCAATGTATATTTCACGGGACAGGAATCCCGGTCAGCATCCAAGTCACGGGGTGCTTGCGTCAAACACACACGTCAACAATCCAGTCGTGTTGACTTACAGTGTTGCATACTAGCACCAGGCACGCAATATGATTGATGATCTGTTAGAATTGTGATCAGTACGGTACATGATCATCAGTAAAGTATTACCTAAGAATTCTTTCCACTACAGTTCATATATAGCAGTCGTGAAAACATTCACGCTTTCCCTGCCAATTGGACGCTAGCCAAAATACTTAAACACAAAAGTATTTCTTTCACTGCACAGCAAAACTCTCGTTAATGCAAATCATCCTTATCAGACAAAAATATGATTAGGCATACGTTATAATAAATCAATAATGACGATTAAGGGTAATAGTTGTGTAGAAAATAGTGTTTATATACCTTTGATGAGTCATGTGACACATGATAGCAGCAGCTTATGTATGTGTAGTGGGACGGGGGAGGCCAGAGGATACATATGGGAAAGAGGTAATTGAATATCTTAACATCTACTCTAAGATTTGTCTTCTGGGAATGCTGACAACTGCTTCTGGTCAGCCGCAGATGACGCTTGAAATGTGATGTGCACAATGACGGGCGCGGGCGCGCGCCCGTCATTGTGTGTGTGTGGGCGCGCGCACACACACACACACACAGACTCCATACACCGTTTCAAATGTAGATATAATAGAGCCCAGTAGGCTCAGGAATCTGTATACCAGTTGATTGACAGTTGAGAGGCGGGACCAAAGAGCCAAAGCTCAACCCCCGCCAGCACAATTAGGTGAGTACACACACACACACACAGGTTGGGCTGTGTGTGTGTCCTATCAGGCCCCAGGATAGCGCGCAGAACTTGTAATTCAGTGGCGCGGGTTCCATTCCTGCACCAGGCAGAAAAAAAATGGGCAAAGTTTCTTTCACCCTGAATGCCCCTGTTATCTAGCAGTAAATAGGTACCTAGGAATTAGTCAGCTGTCACGGACTGCTTCCTGGGGTGTGTGTGTGTGGTGTGAAAAAAAGTAGTTAGTAAACAGTTGATTGACAGTTGAGAGGCGGCCGAAAGAGCAAAGCTCAACCCTCGCAAAACACAACTAGGTGAATACACACACATTAGAAAGTTGCATCTTTTGTGTGAAAATTGAGCCTTTGAGATATATACTTTCGTTGCATGAAATGGAATTTATTTTATTGCTAATACTGAAATATTTGAAATTCATGAACTGTATCAAAATTTCACTTTTATTAGATAAAGAAAAGTATGTGACGAAAGTCTATAAGCTGTGGAGGCTAAAATCCTCAACAGCAACGCTTCTATTACCTAGCTTGTGTAGCTATTATTATGTTCATAAGAATTACAGTGCAATCAGTGTTCTGTTACAAGCTATCATTATAATTCAATATAAGCAGTACTGATGAATTGTAAACACTTATGTTAAACATCTACTTAGGTGATTAAGACCTTGCGTTCTCTGCAATCCTTTTGCGTAACCGCTCACAGGATGAGTACGGGGTGCACAATACACTACCTCTTACAAGATGAGGATAGTTATGGTGCGCACAATAAACTTCCTCACAAGATGAATATAGGGTGCACCATACACTGTACCTCATAGGATGATTATAGAGTACTCAATAAACAAACTACTGCTCACAGGATGACTCACCTACCAATTTATATTGAAGACAGTTTGATTGTTACAGTAATTATCAGGTGTTTAACTGTGGGTTGAATAAGATAATTATCATGAGAAAGTGCTATGAAGCCATGCACCTCAGTACGGCAGTCTTCATGTCTCCGTAATGGGACACCTCCTGCTCCTGCTAGTGACCATCTGGCTCTATTGTAAGTATCGTTGATGCTAGCATGAACTAGCCTCAGTATATATATATATACTTTAGGCATTTATCGAGGTCTCCCCCAAGGTCGAACTACTGCCCTCTCTAAAGATGCAACCCCACAGCAGTTGCCTAATACCCCAACTGTCTGGAAGTATCTATTTACTGCTTGGTGAACAGAGGAATTATGCGTAAGGGAACGTGCCCAACCATTTATGTCTCTCTTGGGAATGGTACCCAGGATCCGTAATTGCAATTCGAGAACGAATTAGCGTCGAACTGTATTATCAATCCCAAGTCATTCTTATCTATTGCTCTTTGTTTCAGTCTCGGTAAACCATGGCTTACACATAATAAATAACACAAAAGTAAGAGTTTGTTTAACGCCAAGTTTCCCCGCAACACGTGCTAATAAACCCCCCCCCCCCACAACCACCCACCCTCCCAAATCATTGTTGGAGGCGTGACGTCACAGCCACGAGCCGGTTTGTCCGGCCTTGACGTCCCCGGCAGGCAAGCAGTTGCCAGCTTGCAATGTCAACCCCGCTCTAGAAGTATTCACCATTTACCTCTGTACATACACCGAGAGCTTACTTTAGCTCAGGACTAAT